TTCAACCAAAAGAGAGATTTAATGTCAGCACGTTTTAAAATGCTGCGAATCTAGCTTTTAGAAAACGTGGTAACGTATGGTTTGAATCCAGATCCGATTCAAGTATATTGAAAAGATATTGGAGTATGGAAGAAAATGGGGAGATGCTCAAATTTTATCTTTATGAGCTCGTGTGGACATTTATAAACACGAAGCGGTCTGCTTATAAACGAGGAACATCTGCATCCAGAACCCTTTATGTGTATTCCTCTATAGGAGATCCAGTCACTATAGGTTCACAAACAACCGATTTGTTGCTACAAGTCCCGTATCAACCCCAATTACATGGAAGCTTTTTTTACGCACCACCAAAGATTCATTACGTTCCATTATGTAATTACATGATCGACGTGACTGAAATTCAAATAAGTGAAACGGATACAAACTCACTGACGCAGTTCGACAATGGTGCTTCTATTGTCTCGCTTCATTTTAGGAAACAATAAAACAACCGCGTACTTCTGAGAAACGTTTCATTTTAACATAGATACAACATGAGTAACTTTTACTTGACGTTACCGAGTAACGATGGGAGTGTCAAGTATTTTCCCGGAAACACTAACAATTCTTGGAAAAATCGTCTCAACAAACGCTTGCGTTTGGAGGGGGACTGGGAAGTGGGTTTGTCCAGCATTTCCTTACCACCCGAATCGTTCTTGATACCTTATCTGAAAGGATTAAAAGATACCGACTTCGTCTCGCGAAGTGCAAAACAACTCCAAACAAAACCGTTTCAACAGACGTCACTTATAAAGATATCAAGGATACACCTATGACGACGGCGTATGATTTTCTCAAAATCCTATTCGACAGAGAGCACGAGTTATTTTTAAATACACTCAAGCAGAACGATTCCTTAGTACATAATCCAGGGAAAAAACAACTTCAATGGGATTCCATATACAACGAGGAGGAAGGAACGATTAAAGTGACATCAGAAAAGGTGGACCAGAGTGTATTTTCCTCTCGGATGAATTTTAAATTACACTATCATTTTGTACTGAGGAAAGATATGTGCGATTTTTTTGGTTGGACAAAGTCTACGAATTACCAGAGTACCATCATAGCTAAACACGGACTTAATCTCGTGATGAGGAAACGCGATACCGCATTTGTTGAAGATCGTACGGATTCCCAACATTACGGGTATTGATACTGGTTATTGGAAGCTGTGTTTAAAGGAAACGATGGGTTGTTTGTAGACTCTATCGCATTCTTTCTCGACGAGTTTACCCACACGTTCACGGACCTTACAGAAAGCACTTATAAAAACGGTATGGCCCCTCGCACGCTTTACCTCTACTCCTCCCTGTGCGCCCCGGTGATCATGGGTGATCAGACCACCGATCTGTTGCGTACGTTTCAGCATCATCCTCTATTGAAAGGGAGTTATTACTACGAACCGAAACACATACATTACATCGCTTTGCAAAATAAACACATCGACGAGGTGGAAACGCAACTCAGCGAATTGGAAAATAATAACCTGGCGCAATTTACTAAAGACGGAGCAAGCATCGTCACGTTGCACTTTAGAAGGGTTAAATAAGGACACTCCACCAGAAAAAATCATTCATTTGTTCACACGCTACATGAGTAACTTTTACTTGACGTTACCGAGTAACGATGGGAGTGTCAAATATTTTCCTAGAAACACCTACAATTCTTGGAAGAATCGTCTCAACAAACGCTTGGGCTTGGAGGGGGACTGGGAAGTAGGTTTGTCGAGTACTTTGCTTCCGCACGAATCGATATTGATACCTTATCTCAAAAGATTATCCAATGGATCAGCCATGCTCAAAACGTGGAGAGTCATAATATCTTAATGGCGAGTTCATGAAAATATTTAAAGAAGTTTTCAATCAAAAGGTTCTACCAGACGATGATGGTCTTCCGCGTGCAGTTTGGGACACTTGTCGCTATAGAATTGAAACATGGAAACGTAATTGTAACAAAGAGGCATCGATAGAAATTTCCCGTGGGTAGAGTACTCAAACAAGAAAATCGAATTGTTGCTGTTTCCCAGTTTCTACTAGAGGAACATTTGTCAAGGTATGCACAAATACAATACAACCTATGTTGAAAAAAAAAGAAAAGCTAAGCATGGAAACGTTATTATAACATAACCAAAGTAAAGCGCGCGCTCTGATTGGTCAATTTAGCGTCCCCCATTTGCCCATGGGTGTACGCTGCTGACGTGAGCAAATGCAAAGACTATTTTTCCGCGCGCGCTTGTTTTTTCTGGTCACGTAAGATTTGTTAAATAAAAGGGAACTCTTTAGCTACAATGTATCAATGTTATGTTATAAAACAAATGGTAAACACCACACCGTACACTATTGAGTTATGGATGCACTTGAGAGGTTTGCTAAGCACTCAAGAAGCTAGAGTCTTACGCTTCCTTCGTGCTTAGCAACCTCCCGCGTGCATCCATAACTCAATAGTGTACGCTGTGGTGTTTACCATTTGTTAA